TATGAGGGTACTGTAAATAGCATGGGAAATATGTGTGCCAAGTTTAAAGGCACTGGCCATTTCTTCCTATAGTTATATAAATGCATACACACACTGTGACCTTGCTTTAATTTGTCCCACGAGTGTAGGTCGTGCTAGTTGCATAGCAAAAAAATGTGTGCCAAGTTTGAAGGCCCTAACAATTTCTATTACAGTTCAATACTGAACATACATAAACGTGTACTGTGACCTCGAATTTTGACTTTTGTCCGAAAATTTCACCAAATCTTGTTAGTCATATAGAAAATACCTTAATTTCCATTTCATTTGAGTTATGTCGCTACACAGATGGTCCTGGATGCAGTTTAAGACTAAGTTGTTGACTCCTTAAAATGCCAGCTACTTGCACTTTAAACCCATTGAATTATTTATTCGAACATCTCGTGTTGATAAATAATGTCATTTGGTATATATCATTGCATGTTAGATTTTATTGTCGAAAAACAATTTAATCTATTTTCTTCCAGTCATTCTCGAGCCAGAATTCAGACTGAACGGCCCTGAATGTTCAAGTATTGTCTACTCCCCCGGCGTCGACCAAGAAATCAGCCTCACAATCACTATAACAAATAATGGCAGTGACAAACTGCCAGCGCCTGCCAACGACTTGAAGAACTTTGAAGTCAGGTTCTACGTTGCACGTATACCCGATGGCGTCATAGGACACGAGAATCAAGAAACCGGAGAGGGTGATTCTGGGGGGTATATGCACATGCCGACTAGCGTGTTCGCCGTAACGTCTGGATCTTTGAATGATGATTTAACATCTCGGGGAACAGTGACAGCGTCGGGCACAGCTAACATTCGAGCCCCCAAAGACTACTGTTCCCACTACACACAGCTGTGCGTCAGTCTGGTCTTAACAGAGACTGCCCTCGCTGAGGGTGCCAAGACTCAAAGAATGGACGGAGGCAACCAGAATGGAAAGTGTAAGGATTTCGGTTGCTCGCCGGAAGTCATCGGAACCCTGGACTGTGGTAAGCTGATATTCATATCACAATTTGTGCGCATTTTAGTGGGGCATGCCCTCTTATTAAGCCAAGTTAACACGACCTGAATATTCAATAACCCATCTATAAACTAGTCTGATCACAGGTCAAATCACTAGACTTGTCATGCGCACTAGATTCTATCTGATAAATCCTTCGGACACCATATATTTCTTACGCAATTTCATTATTTGTTTGGCTAATTTTGGACAAAATTTGCACAACTTTTTGTTAATTTTTAGGAAAATATATAAAACACAATCATGCTGATAAAAGTTTAGCGGTCAATGGTAAAAGGGTGAAAATAATCGTCGATTGTGCATGTTAACCGATTTGTATACACTTAAAATTCACGTAGGGCTATTCAGGCTTCACATATTTTACAGATTTCAACCATTTTAGCTCGTTCATTTTTCCTCGTTTATGATCGAACATGAAACGAATAGATGACAGCATTATTCAGAAAAGTGACTAACTGTCAGAGAAAAATTGGTTGCACCATGCGACATTTTCTTAAGACTTAAGGTTTTCTCCTAACCTCAATACATGTGCACAATGCGTCTTTCTATCTTAATGGTATTATTGCGAATTATCGCATCTCACTGTTCTTACGCATGCTGTGATTGGTGGTGACTCAGTCACATGACATTGAAAAGTTGAATAATAACACATGTTTGTGAGGGTAATATATTATGGTCATGACCACCATCCCCTGCAGGCAACAAATCGTGATATTTCCCGAATGACCATGTGTTATTTATTTTATCACATCGAACTGACATCCAGCATTCACAATTACATTACCATATATCTCTCACACATACTCTCCCACAAAATAACAATACTTATATTTTAAGTATGCAATGTTTTATTTTTTGTAATATAACAAGGGACACATTACTCAATACCATACATACATTGTTTGCTGAAAAATATACAGTAACTGTTACTTACAGTCACGGAGACTCTGTTTAGTAACAGTGTTTCAAGCAGTGCGAATCACTCAATTTATCGAGTATAATATTTATCGAGTATTATTGAAATGCATTGAGAAATTCTCAAACGAAAGTTATTTCACCACTCGCTAGATAAAATTGTCAGAGTGGATATTGGATATTAAGTAAGATACTCCTTTTTGATGTTTGGAGTATTCTTTATAAGAAGCATACATATACGGCGAGCCCGCCACTGAAACGTCGCACCTCGGACCGCGCTCTACACTGTGAACATTTCTACGCATTCCACGCCGATGCTCACCGAAAACGTTAACGCTAGCTTGTGACTTGTGAATAGAAGGTGTGGTACGTTCGTGAGAAAGTCATTGCAGTCTCTTCTACGACACACATTTTTATATGGTGAGTAGTGAAAAAACTTGCGTTTGAGAATATATTTCAATAATTTTATACTCCATGAATTGAGTGATTTGTCACACTGGAGAAACACTGTTACTAAAAAAAAGAGTAACCGTAGCTGAAAATAACATTTACTGTGTAATTCGCAGTTTTTTCAATGTATGTATGTATGCTATTGAGTAATGTGTCACTTGTTATAATACACGAAATAAAATACTGCGTAGTTAAAATAGTATAGTTATTTTGTGGGAGAGCGGGTATGAGAGATGTATATTAGATGTAATTGTGCATAGTCGATGTCTGTTCGATGTGATAAAACAAATAACACATAGTCATTCATGAAATATCAGGATTTGTTGTCTTCCCTCGGGCTGTTGGTCGTGACCATAATATTGATGATGCCCTCGCCTTTGGTTCTGGCATCATCAATATTATGGGCAGGCAATAAACTATGATATTGCCCTTACAAACATGTGTTATTACTTAATCAATGCTCTATCCAGGCGTCAACAAACCCAGTTCTGTGGACCTTAACTAAATATTCCATGCTCGGAATCTTAACGTCCACGCGTGGAAAACTACGTTATGGTAAATGAACAAATTTAATTTACCCCCCCCCCCCCCGATCTATAACGAACGAGTTCATACATATATAAAACAATTAATTAAATTCAATTCTGTTATTTTTAGGGACCAGTGGAAGCGGCGATACCCGTACTATGACGTCATTGGTGGTTTCGTTCCTTGTCTTTTATCACGTATTTGTCAAGTCTATGTGAAGCTTACATTGACTCGACTCGATCCTTGATGCCATGTACTCGATTACTGTCTGAAGTTGCTGCTACTATTTTGATATAGTTTGTACATTGTACACAGAAGTAAAACGCATTATATATTTAGGTTAACGTTTAAAATGAAGACAGATATCAATGTATAAACTTCCGGTATAATATGCCCATCACTTCAATAAATAATACCTACAAATTTGCGCCCGCTGGCGACGAGAAGATTATGTGGCGAGAAGAGGGACACCCACCACGATGGGAAAGTCGAAGATACGGCGTCTCACTTGGGCGAGCATTCCGGATAAGGGATGTAACGTAAACATACGCACATGGTTTTGTGCTTGTGGATATACCAATCGACTTGACCAAAATAAAATTACCTTTTTTCCGAGTATAAACAGGCTCGCAGGTATCTATTTGCCGCCATGCCAAAAGCAGACGTCTTTCTAAACCCTGACCCCTACATCCCGGAAAGTTGTCTATGTAAGTCTATCATTGGTATTGTTTTGAGGTCGACTATAAAATGTAATGTTTGTGAGATATTTACAGCATGTACAGCTTCGAACGACGTTTCTTTCATCTACCTACGTCATTTGACGTCATAGTCGCTAGAGGGCGCTGTATAGTAAAAGTGTATACAGTATTCATAAACAAAGCATATCACTTAGGTTAAATGAAATAAATATTGCCGCAATAGTAACTAAAAGGTGAATGTTGTTTTTTATTTCTTCATTTGGCTTTTTAATGTTTTCTTCTCTGAACCATGATAGAGAAAAGACCACCCCTAACGGCAGACCTGAATTTTCAAATCTTCGCATAGTACTACTATTGACACAATTTTTCTAAAAACTTGAAAAGCTAAGTTATCCAATCGTTCGAAGAATCCATCTGTTTGAAATATGACAACCACATCAACATAACACTCTTAAATGATATTAAAATGAAATAAGTATATTTTTTATCTTTTTTGATACATATATTAATTTCATTAATTGTTGTTGTTGTATTAAGATAGAAGCATTGTTTCTATAGCGACAATAGTCACCCAACTTTTGTTTACGGGGTACGGAATATTTATAAAAAATGAAAAAATATACATTTAATTATATATCCTGCTCCGTCGAACCTGGAATGGTAAAATATAGCTAATTTGTTTCTAATTGCTGATCGAAAAAAATATATGTATGATTTGTTTACCTTAGTTGTTTCTAAGAAATTGACCCGCCATCACTATCCCAGCAATATACAGAGGGCGCAACTGCTAGTAAGAAACAACGACAACAGTATTTAACTATTCTGCCCCAAGTACATAGTATTTTACTTTCGCTTGAAATAATCGATAAAAGATACGACACAAAACAAGTTGATTAAGACTGTATAGCTATTCCACCGGCAGGTAGCGATATGTAATATTTATAGAGCACCATTTATGATTCTTTGAATGGATTCTTATCTCGGGAGAAAAACAACCAGTGAGGGTTTGAGTTTTAATTTGGATTTGGAGAAGTCTTCGACTTAATGGATGCCTGAATAACATATACAACTAACTGTGTCATCGTCACACAAATAGAATAAATCAAAATTGAATAGAGGGTCACATTATACCACAAACTAAAATTTTTAAAATACTATAAGGCAAGATCGTCAGTTATATATACGACGAATCACATCTATAAACTATAACATATACACTTTATCACTGTTACGTTCATTAATATGGCTCAGACAATATATGACCAGAGCGCAAATAAATAAATTCACAAAAAATTTTATGTTATGTTTCGAGATGAGATTAATAAGTATGCTTAAGTGATGGACCGATTTATCGTAGTGTACTAAGACTCATTTAAAATCGTGTCTTCCAAAGTTGCAGCCTTTGATAAATCCGGGAGAATGTATCTTTTATCAGATCGTCCTTTCAACCAATATGCCATAATTGGTTCTTTTCCCTGTATGGAGAGGTTCATAATAAATGCAATTTTTTTTAAACGATCACTAAAAAGATATCAAATACAGGATGCTAACTAACTGTCGGGCGATATATATTCTAAAAGAAAATGAAATCACTAAATTGTGTTACTCACAATTCAAACTTCACATATTAAAACGTGATAACGTGTTATTATAAAGAAATCATCATTTTTGTGATATTTGAGAAAAAAGATGTCTCAATGTGAACTCTAGTCAATTATTCTCATTCAAGTTCACGGTTCACGCTGGCCGTGATTTTCGTTTCTTATTTTACCGTCACGACCTCTATTCAGAGGGTTTATAACAACAAATGATGGTGGAAATCAATACGATATAAAGAACATGGCATACCTTCACGTTCAGTTGTCCACGTTCTTCTAAAACAAAATTCCCCAATTGCCGTAGTAAAGTGGCCGTAGTACTGCTAATATTAATCCGCAATGCTAGAAATAATCAGAGGGGTGGAATAGTCAAAGACATCTCGACAGTCATTTGAGATATTTTCAAAGATACCATATTCGATCAATGCGTTTATGATTCACTGATGTACATACCCAATCCACTGGATTCCATCCGCGACGCTGTATTCACGGTGTCTCCAAACAGACAATATCTCGGCATTTTCAACCCAACAACACCGGCAACAACAGGCCCTACATAGATAAAACATATACATGGCAATTGTCGCAGTGCATTTCAAGCTGCATTTCCCAATCTCGTATCGTTTGACCGGATAACTTTTCCTTTTCAAAGCTTTAACTGAGAAGTAAAACAAATACTAGTATTTAAGTTTCTACACAATCAGCAAGGTTTACACAATATAAATTATTACTATGGTTAGGGACGTTTCTCTAACATTACCTGCCCAAGCACACATCGTTTTTGTATCAGAACATAGCACTCTCTTGATAAAACACCACAAGAGACATGCAAATGCACGGAAGTATTAGTTGTACTAGTGACTGGCATGTTTACACGTGTACCTAAAATAAACGCCTTGTGTAACACAATTAACGATGTCCCTTTTTGGCAATTGACATTCAATGCCATAAATTTGTCAAATATGTTCGTTTACCTGTGTGGATACCAATACGCAGCTGTAGTTGTTTTCCGGGAATGTGTCTGATCTTGAAAGTAACCAACGAGCTAAGTAACTCTAAAGCCATTGTTGCAATCTCCCCAGCGTGACGATGGCCATTCTTTTCAGGTAGACCCGATGCGCACATATACGCATCGCCTATTGTCTCAACCTGCAAACAACATTATAGTCAGTATAATCCTGCATATAATTGAAATTCAGGAAAGTCAACTGTTTCCATGACCATGTGGTACTGATTAATTTGTCATTGTTAATACTCAGCACTTACCTTGTATACGTCATAGTTGTCGATGATGTCATCAAAATCACTGTATAGATCATTCAGTAGATCAATGACCTGTAAAACAAATATGGATTGAAGATGTCATTATCGAACGTTCGGACAGATGTCATGAGTTCTTGGTTATATCCCATATGGTCAAAATAAATACATTTACTTTAAATGCATTTAATTGTTTTTAGTAACAGGGTTATTTCACTTGATTTCGTGGATGAAGCTCTCACAAATATAAACCAAATAAACGTACTACTCACCTGCATGGGCGAGC